GTGCCCTAAAATTGAAACTTTATTTTCTTCGCCATCATAAGCATGTGGATCAAAATTTTTTCACCACTAAATCGGCCATTGAATACTGTCTATGTGACATTATCTGAATTTCCAAAAATCTCACTTTCGTTTTTTCGCCTAATTTCCATGTGGTTGCTCACTGTGTAGAACGCTTGAACGACAACTCCGATCTTAATGAAACCGAACCAAAAAAAATGGAAGATACAAAAAAAGCGAAGGATCTTTTGGAAAACTTGCTGTACGGTTCGGAAGTATTTACGCATTCACCATAGATGGAAAACATCTAGATAAACATTCTGTAAAGGTTTGGACAAATTTGAAGTTGGGATGTGAAAGGGGCCATCATTTTACTGAAACTAGTCATTCGAAAAACACTTAGCGTAGGAAGAAAAATAATTTTTCCGAATAGGAAATAGTCAGAAGAAAAATTTTTCGTAAATCGATAGAGTGAAAGGTGTAGTTTCAGATTATATAAGAGTTTCTCACTAATATGGTGCACTTTGAATAGTACCTGCTTGTTTTCCAGAGAAGCTCGGTTTAACTATTTCGTCTGACTCAAAAAAGTCATTTGAGCGGTGCGACGAGTACTCAGAAATGAGCCCTCGGCGACCGCTCATCGAATGCATATTTTCGAACACTCAAAATACCCCCCGAACAAGTGGTTAGGTTATATTTCTTATTTCATTAATCTGACAGCTCCTTCATATTGTCGTTTGATATCGTGAATGTCTAAAATGTTGGTCTCTTGAAGAATTTGTTCATCACCTTTACTTTAGAGGATCACTTAAACTCAATTCAGGAGCATCAAAATTTATTTGAAGTAAAATACAAAACTGAACTTGAAAAACAACAAGAACTATTTGAACAATCACAACAATTATTGGAAAATAAAATAAAACAAAATGATGAAGAAAATAAAGTTATCATAGAAAATTTCGACAAAAAACTTCAACAATTAAAGCGTAAGTAATGAAAGATATTTCGAATTTTGATGTGTCATTCACGTCTTCTCCTTTGTTAGAAAGTCAAATGTCGTCGTCGCAAACAGAACAAGAATTATTTGATCGATTAATAAAAATTGAGCATGAAAAACAGAATAGTCATCTTGAACAAAGATTTAAAATTCAACAAGAGCTGTTCGATGAAAAGCAAAAATTAATGGAGACGATACTAGTTGAAAATAAAGAAAAGTATAAAAATCTAGAAGAAAAACTTCAACAAATAAAACGTAAGTAAAACTCTTATAACCATGTTAGTAACAATATCTCTCGTTTTATTTTTGCTTAGTGAATCAAATTTATTTAATACAACAAATACAACCAAATCTTACAACAAATCTGTACAAATTAGGATTTGGATTTCTTGTTATGCTCTTATTTTTCGTATTTCTCAGATATCAATTGCATCTACAAGAGCAAAGAATCAAAACTGAATTTGAAAAACAATTAAATGAAAAATTACAATTAATAAAGACAAAAATAATCGAAGATGAAGAAAACAGTAGAAAACAATATTATGTAGAACTGGTAAAAGAAGAAATTGAGCAAAGAACTTAAAATGCATATTGAGAAACGAAAACAACAATTCTAGCAAAACGTACAATTGTACAGCGGACAATAGTGATAGGTATTTGTTTAAAGAAAAAGCGTTGACTCGTTTGTTTTTTGAATAACTCGAGAGTTATGGTCTTCGCTTGTTTATTGAAAAGTTTTTCAAGTATCTTTTCATCATACAAACAGATTTCAAAATCTTTCTAGCTACTTTCATTCTCGAAGTATTCCTAAAACAACTAAGTCTACACTTTGTTGGACGAGTAGTAGAAACGAAGGAAATGGTCGGAAGTGCAAGACATGAAAAATTCAAACAAAACATGACTATTTATAAGCACATAACTATTTTATTAATTCGTATCCGTCCCAACAGTAGATGGATGTGTTCATTTTTTTGAATAATTTTTGATACATTTTAGAGCGGACCAGCAAACCATAGGATAAATTGTGATGTTGGTTTTAAAAAAAAATATGCCTCAACCGAAATTGAACAAAGGATAGTGCAGAGAATACTGTCGATTCTTCGTCAGAACATATTTTTCTTCTAAAATGCACACTCATATGAAAGGTCTGAGCATGATAAGTCACCTATTTTATGTGAGTTGGTCCATCTAATTGACATTTGAGTTGCCCAGCATTTGAGTCAAAGAAGAGATAGTTAGTGAGCTTGGATAACAGAATAAGATTACAGATGTTGACCTTAGATTAAGACATAAAACTGAAATCTTGCAATCGTTGTGACGGTCAGTTTTTGCTAGTTCAAACGTTAGTTAATAGAGTCTGACACGATTTTTAAAATTAGAGGTTTTCAACTGGGCAAAAACTGTTTTCTACATTTTGAGGTCTGTTGAGACCCTAGGTAACCTATCCTCATAAAACTGTAATCCAATGGCTGAGACTTGCTTGTTAAGAATTGAAACGAAAGATGTAGATCTCAGCATTTTGACCACAGTCTTTCTAAGATAGATTTTCTAGAATTTGGATCAGATTTCAAAATGTGGAAAACAGTTTTTTCTTTTATTTAAAACGTCTCTGAACTCTCTACGACTTTGGTTTCGGAGTTATAGTCAGAACAGAACGAGCAAAAAAGGTAACGCTGTGACATCTCTACTATAGGAGTTACTTGAACAAGCCGTGGGTATGCCGTGGGAAAAATTGCTATAACACGGTTATAAAAAATCGCTTAGACTTGCGGAACGTCGCATTTTGTATAGAAATGTTTATTCTACGTCTTTGTAAGGAAGATACTATTAAAGATTGAAAAAGAGAAGCTCGTTTAATGAATTACTGAAGAGACACGAACAGTTATATAACTGGTATCCAGTTATCACGTACAGTTATAGCATTTGAGAATACTCATATTGTTGTCATAAGTAATTTTAGATCTTTTTCTCTCCATAAATAGGTAGAACAAACGTTTGTCTACAAAATGAGACGCTGTGTACGTCCGAGCGATTCTTAGTAACCGTGTTATAACAATTTGTCTAGCTGCTGTAATACCGCCTATATAACTGGTGCATGCTCATTTTCAACTATATCATATGCAGAGTTAGGGAGCAGATAAGCGATTTTAAGAGAAGTTCACTTCGTAGTAAACTGTCGTATCCACAATACGTACAGGAAGATTTACTTGATACTAGCGCTGTGGTTGGCAACCCTGGTAATGAGTTCGCATAAACGTTGAGTCTTTTGTTGATAAATAAACTTCTATTCAACAAAAGAAAATCTACATATCCTTTTATTTTCAAAAATGAACAAATCTATTTCTTTTTTGGACGGTCACTGTCATACAACAGATAATACAACAGATATTCATTATCAGTCCATTCGAAGGTGAAGGAGAGATAAGCTCACTTTTTATTAGTTTTCAATTTATTATTCTTTTTTGCTTGGAACAAGGTAGAACATGTCCTGTTCATCTTGTGCAATTTAATTCAGCTTTCAGTACACCTCAGGAAAATTCTTTTATTTTTGAATAAAAAATTTAGTGAAAAATATGTACGCGCTGATTACCAAAGAGCAAACAGCAGACTACTTGAAAAGGTAAGAAAACTGCATTCAGGAACTTTATTTTCTCATTTCACATTCTTCTGTTTGTTATACATATTCAGTTTTGATCAAACATAACTCGTCAGTTTGATACCTACAACGAAAACAGATGAAAATTAACTCTTTACATTTTCACAAACACTTTAGGTGGTTTTCTACGACTAGCTAAAAGCTGTAGAAAAATATAAAGTATACACTCTAAAATAGAGAACAAACAAACCAACTTTCTTCTTTATATATATAGATTAATAGCTCTACTTCGAAAATATACTGACGCATAACAATAGCAGCTTTCTAACTATTTTCATTTCTGTTTTACATAGATAATCTCCCACTACTATGACCCGAAAAGAAAGCCGGAAAGTCATGGTAGTTCTGAAATTATTTTGTCAAAAGTCATTTGGCATTTACCGAGAACTGCTTTTTCATCCGCTCATGCGTAGTACTGACACCTCTATATCTCAAAAAAACCAAGCGCTACCTTTTTTAAAAAATAGCATGACACAGAGTACAACTCGTGTACTTCAAATTGTCTTAAAAATGGGGGAGGAGGGGAGGTACATTCGAATTTGTTAACTTTTTAATCTGGGAAGTTGTTAGAATATACACTAATTTTATAATGAGTGCAATTTTCCTTTTAGACAAAACATAAAATTCATTCTTTTCCCCGTTTCTTGCTTTATGCCTATTCTATATCCATATACAACGCAAAAGATAAATGCTGAATACAAAAGAAGAAACCTTGACCTTTTAACTGTTAATCGCCGATATTCGTAGCCATATATCTCAAAAACTAGATGGTACCCTCTTCCAAAAAATAGCTCAATGTAATGTGCAACAGATGTATTTTAAGCTTGTACTAGTTGTACAGATAGGTACTTTCTAATTAAGTTAATTTTCGTTCGCTAACTTGACAGAATATAGATTAAGTTCACAGTGAGCGCTCCCTCCTTCTAATTTTTTCTCTTCTAATACGCTGATGGGCAGCTTTATAACTAAAAAAGCTAAACTGTATCTTTTCTAAAAACTAGCGTGACATAGAGTACAACTTCTATACTTGTAACAGCTATAAAAACTGAAGACGAGTATCTTCAAACTTTTTAACTTTCTAAACTGGGAAATTGTCAGAATATACACTAATTTCACAGTAAGTACAATATTACTTTTAGATAAAAAGCGGCAATCTTTGATGTCTACGGTTGAATATAGTGTGATATACCGTGAAAATCCACAGTGGAGAATCCGGGTCTTAAAAGTGTTGGTAGGTAGACGAGATTTTGCGCCGTATAATGTAACTCGTCACGCTCATTCCGAATATGTAAAAATCTCGAGACTCGCTTCTCTAGCAAAAAACCATCACATTTTGATATGAAGGACTAGAGATCAACAAAACAAACAAAAAAATTAGTTTAATTTAACAAGTTACAACTTTGTTGATACTTTTGTAAATTAACCTGAGGTGTATTATTTTTTATCATCCAATGCGTATACATCACTTTTTTTGACGAGGACTGTTGCGAAATCTAAGGTTAACTGTAGACAACGAGCTAACTGCCTGTACGAGTGATTATTCAGAATTTGCTGGAAACGTACTAATCAACTTAGGTAGTATTTCAAAACCTATTCCGAAATATCGTTTTTCCGAGAAATTTATTTGTTTTTCTGTTTGAAGAATAAAATAAGAAAAGAACAAATTTTATATTTTCATCAAATGCTCATCTTTTGTATGTTAAACGGAGAAAGTGCTCACTCTAAGTTTATTTTGTATAGATAATAAGACAAACACCACCTTATATATTTGTCTTATTATCTATTCTTAAATTCTTCACCTTAAAAAATGATTCAATTATTTTGTATTCTGCCACTTGGCAAAGTATTTTCAGAATAATCGAAACAGCGACTTTCGATCGAAATTTTGACCAGCACTTGGGAGGGTTGACAGAATACGAAATAAGTTTAGAGTGAACTTTTTTTCTGAAAGTTTCTCTTTTGTCATAAATGAAATAGTTATATTTAATGTTATATAAACAACTAAGTCAATTACAGTACAGAAAAGAATGTACATTCATGTTCTTTCTGTTATACAATAGTTCAATATTGTTCTTCAAACAAATTGAATAATACTGTTCTCAATTTTCTTTCCAATCCAGTTACCGGTGAATTTATTCATCGGTGCGAATTTTGTTGGTTTTCCTTATATATTTGTTTAATGTTATGTACTTGTCAAATGAATAAATATATAACATCGATAATGTTACTAGTCTACAGTTCTTTATAACCCATTAAATCGTTTATGAATTCGTCCTGTATCCGTTTCTTTTGATAATGTAATATTTAAATGTCCCTGTGAAGGCCAGTATTGATTGTAACTTATTCATTTGACAACACTGACAAAACTTGAATTTAAAAAAAAAATATTATAATACACATTGTACGTTTTATCAAATCAAGCAACAATACTTCATTATAGAATAATTCAACTTTTGAGAGAGTTTTTTTGCCAGTGCCAACAGAAATGTGTAGTTGATCCTGATGCTTAAACTAATCATCTGCTGAAAATAACGAGAAAACTAAAATAATGGAATGTTGAGCAAAATTGATCATTACCAAATTTTACAAAAAAACTTTTGCTGTAATGCAAGTAACACATGTTAATTAAATAGTGGCAGTTGTGAGGTTTAATTGCTTATTAAAAGCTCGTTCGATTATTGCATATTACTTAGTAGCACATTATCGTACGACAGGACTAGAAACATACGAAAAATTAGACATATAGTTTCTCATTTAATACGTGACAAAGAACGACAACTAGAGTTATATGGTATACTATAGAGAAACGGTTACACTTTTAAAACTATCGAACGCTGATAGCCGCAAGTTTTTATCTCTTTTACTCGATTGTTATTCAAAAACATAAGCGGTCACTCTATTGTGAAATAGATAGTAGTCAGCGTTTC